CCTGCTGGGCTCTGGCGATCCTTCCACCTCAGCCTTCCGAGTAGCTGGAACTACAGGCGCGCACTACCATACCCAGCTGATTTTTGATTTATTGTAGAGATGAGGTCTCGCCAAGTTTTCCAGGCGGGTCTTGAACCCGCGGGCTCAGGCAATCCACTCACCTCAGCCTCCCAAAGGCACGGGATTACAGACTGAGCCACCGAGAGGCCTCTGTTTTATAGGTAGGGAAACTGAGGCTTAGGCGGGGCTGTGATTTTCCTTTGATTTTGGAGTGTGGACGTGTTTTAAAAGAAGCAGCAATGTCTTCTGTCTTTGTTTAACATTTATTACAAAGTATAAGAGCAGAGACTGATGAGTTACACTCTCTCCCCCCTCCCCACCAGACAGATATCTCTGCAGTTCTGGAAAGACGGTGTCCTCCTTGCTGTCCCGCCAGGGGGCACCACCTCCTGCCTTGTCCCAGCCTCATCCCTGGTTCTTCAGCTCGTCCAGCGATAACTGAAGCTTCCCAGAAGCCTGAACTCCGGGCCCTAGTCCCCTCCACCCCTGGGACCTGGGAGTCCACCCTGGGTGCCTCTATTTCTAACTAGAAGGCCAAGGTCACCTTTAGCAGCACAGTGAGTGTTTTTGGTGAGGGCATGTGGAGTGGTGGTGACCGTGTTCCCATTTGAGGCTTCAGGGGGACCAAGCCATCTCCCCTTTAGCCAGTGTCCTCTCCAGCTGTCAGCGAGTCCACCACCCCAAGGCGGGGACTTCGGTCCTCACAGTTGAGGTGCTTTACTCTCGAGGCCAGGTCAGGAGTGGCGGGGAGGATGGCCTTCACCTCAGTCCTAGGGAAAGTAGCCTGCTTCCTCTTCCGTGGGTCCTGCAGAGACAGAGAGGCTGATGGACAGCAGGCCAAGAACGGGGGAGAGCGAGTAGGGCCACACCGAGGGGAGGCAGGCCGAAACCACTGGGCAGAGGTGGGAGGGGGAGGTTGGGCATACTGGGCACCAAGAGCCTGGGGTGCAGGTGGGCATTTGCAGAGGCATAGGATGGACAGAGCCAGGGAACAGGCCCAGCGACAGGCAGAGAGAGAGAGATGGAGACCAAGAAAAGAAAGGGAGAAGGGCATCGTGGGTCTCCTTCCTTCACTGCCCGTGGCCCCAAGCTCCGAGACCTTTCCTCCAGACAGAGCCAGAGCCCAAGAGAAAGGGTGGCCTCATCTCCAGGCCTCCCCCGCCCCTCAGCCACACACGGTGCTCACCATGAGCACCCTTCCTCTGGGCTGCCTTCCTGCCCAAGTCCCAGCCCCCTCACCAGCTACGTGGCCTCCTGGCTGGGTTCTGGAAGCTGCCGAGGCCCAAGGGCAGCGCTGAGCAGCTCAGTCAGCGTGTCCAGCTTCCCTGCCAGGGTGTCAATCCGCTTCTCCAGGGCCCGTTGTGAGCTGCTCAGACCCAGCTGCAAGTCACACAGGATCATGTGCATCTGGGCAGGAGGAGAGGGTCGGAGGTGTCAGGGGGCTGGGTGTCAGACACCCCACCCCGCTCCACAGGGTAGGGCAGTGGAACCAACATGGAGGAAGTCCTTGTGGTTCCCTGAGGAGTCTCTTTAATAATGACTGTTGCAGGGCATGGTGGCTGACACCTGTAATCCCAGCACTTTGGGAGGTGGAGGCGAGAGATGAAGGCGAGAGGATTGCCTGAGCTCAGGAGTTCGAGACCAGCCTGAGCAACATGGTGAGACCTCGTCTCTACAATGAATCAAAAAATTAGCTGGGTGTGGTGGTGTGCGCCTGTGGTTCCAGCCACTTGAAAGCCTGAAGCGGAAGGATCGCCTGAGCCCAGCAGGTCGAGGCTGCAGTGGCCGTGAGCATGCCACTGCACTCCAGCCTGGGCGAGAGTGAGACTCTGACTCAAATAATAATAACTTTTACTATGTATTGAACATCTACCAAATTCCAGATACTCATTCAGGTGCTTTTCCTGCATAGTTTAAACTCCTCTTAAAAGCCATGGGCGTGGGAACCCTGTTCTCATCTTGCAGCCGAGGAAACGGAGGCATGGATCAGTTAAATAACATGCCTAATGCAGCCCCTGGAATATGGCCTGGAATGTATATAGGTGCTCATGAAATACTGTGGAGTTGATGGTGTCTGACTTCAAAATCCATATCCCTTTTACTGCATTTTCTTTTTCTTTTTCTTTCTTTCTTTTTTTTTTTTGAGTTAGAGTCTCCCTCTCACCCAGGCTGGAGTTCAGTGGCATGCTCATGGCCACTGCAGCCTCGACCTGTTGGGCTCAGGTGATCCTTCTGCCTCAGCCTTCCAAGTAGCTGGAACCACAGGCATGCATCACCATGCCCGGCTAATAGTTTTATTTATTGTAGAGACAAGGTCTTGCCAAGTTGTTCAGGCTGGTCTCGAACCTGTAGGCTCAGGCAATCCTCTCGCCTTAGTCTCCCAAAGTGCTGGGATTAAAGGTTTGAGCCACCACGCCCAGCCCCCTTTCACTGCATTTTCAAACTAGGATTCACAGCTTGATCCTTGAGAGCTTGTGAGCTTTAAGAACACAGAGTTCTTGAATTCCGTGTTTTTTTGGCTTGATGACCTTCAAAAATGATGACCTGCCCATTCGTAGAGATCTGGGTCATCCCCTCACTGAGACCTGCCACGCAGTCTTGGGCCTGCATATGTGACTGTGTTTACCACCGCACTGGTGCCAAGGGCCAATGCTGGAACTGTTGTGGGCCAATGAGAACAAGCAAATGCCATCAGATAAGCAGGAGGTACTACAAGCCAGGCCGGAGAGGTGCTGAGCCGACCCTGAGCACTGGTGGAATCAAGTAGCCTCAGGAGGAGAAGGCGGTGGGCGACCTGAGTCACACCTTAGCCAGGAAAGCTTGCCCAGCACGGAAGGGCGGGGCAAGGGCATGGTCCTGGACACCCCCTTCAATTCAATAGTAGCAGAGATTGAGTTTTACTCTAACAATGTCACCTGTCTCTGTGTCCGTTTGTTAACTTTAATTTTATTGGTTTTGCTATCTATATTTGAGCTTGGTCTGTAAATTTGCTTTGGTTTTATTGCATGAGTTGTAGTTGAAAGGAATTTATATCCGTCCAACATGTAAGAACTTGACAATAAAGATAATTTTAAACCAAACACTGGGGTTCTTTGTATATTTTCTTTTATTTTTTTTTTAAGTTTATAAGGGATCTGCACCTGTGTGATTGTAAAAAGCTCTGTATTGCATCATTCTTTCCATCCTTCCTTCCTTCATTCATTAAACCATAAACCTTTACTGACAGCCTGTGTGTGCCAGGCCCCTGCCAAGGTTTCCTGTTCTAGGGCCAGATTTCCCTGCCGGCAGCCCCAGCCTCACCCTTCTCCCAGGCCTCCTCCCACGGGATCCCAGTACCTTGGAGATGTCCACCATGGAGTTCACTTGTTCCCGGAGCTTTCGGTGTTTCAGCCGCACCTGGCGGAACCTGTGGGAAGACGTCAAGGGTCAGTCCTCCTACAAGCCTGGTCCCTGGATATGGCCCTGGCTCAGGCGTGGTATGAGGGGAGAAGAGGCCAACTAAGAGACAGAACACAGAAGAAAAGGTGCCAGAGAGCTGAAGGAGTGGGAGGGGTGGCTGTACCCATGAGCCCCCATCCCCTGTAGAGAGCCAGGACCCTAGGCCCTCAGACACTCTGAGACATGTGCATAGATAAACCAGCACAGACACGTGACATCACAGTCAGATCCAGGTGGACAGCTGTTCAGGGAGACCACATGAGGATGACCTGACTTGGACAGGCACAGACGCGCACACACAAGCCGTGCTGGGAGGGTGACATGGACATGGGGCACACCGATCATGCTAGCACAGAGCAGCCCTCACACGTTGATGGCGGCCAGCAGTCTGCGCTGATGCCTGCGGGCAGCGCCAGTGTCCTTCCTGCGCGTGTGTTTGTAGAACATCCAGGCCTCTTGCAGCACACGGGCAGCTGACTCCTTCATCTAGGGGTGGGTGGCACCGTGTCATGGAGACAGACGGGCTGGGGGCGTGGACGAGGGTGTATGCTTGGGGTTCCCTGTGCCCAGCCTCACCTCTTTGGCATACTGAATGTCCATCATGAAGTTGTGCACGTGCTTCTCTGCCTTGTTAAACTCCAGCTTCCGGGCCACCACGGCCACCAGCAGGGCTGTGCAGCAGACCCCCTGTGGGCATATCAGGCACTGTGGTACGAGGTCATGGAGCTCTGTGGGCCAGCCCTGTGCCACCAACTCCCTCTTTCACCCTACCCCACAGCCACAGAAGACAAGTACAGCTATCCCCAATTGACAGACAAGCAGGTGGGGTACAGTGGCTCACGCCTGTAATCCTAGCACTTTGGGAGGCCAAGTCAGGAGGATTGCTTGAGCCAGAAGTCTGAGACCAACCTGGGTAACATGGTGAGATTCTGTCTCTACAAAAAGTTAAAAAATCAGCCAGGTATGGTGGCACGTGCCTATAGTCCCAGCTACTCTGGAGGCTGTGGTGGGAGGATCGCCTGAGCCCAGGAGGTCGAGGTTGTGGTGAGCCGTAATCTGCCACTGCACTCCAGCCTGGGCAATAGAATGAGACCCCCGACTCCAACAAAAAGACAAGCAAATGAGCTCCAGAAGAAGAATCAAGGTCCCCCAGCTTAGAGGGGTGGACCTAGGACCACAAATCACATATGTCCAAGGCCAAATTCTGTGCTTAGTATTTGCACCCTCAGGATGGACCCTTTCATGAAGGTTGTGACTGAAGGAGGGAGAGGAAGGCTGGCTCTGGGTGAGGGACAGGCGTCTGGCTCCTCACTGCTCACTCCTAGTCGGCCACCCGGTCATGGATGGTGTCCTTCCCCTTGCCCCACAAACTCTTCCCAGCTCTGGCCCTGTCCTTTCCTTCCTGGACCGCCTCCAGCCTCCCTCTCACCCTACCCTGTCCCCAGGAAGACGCTGCTCTGACTCTACTCCCCTCACTCTAATCTCCCTCTAGGCTCCCACTGCCCTGAACTTTGCAGCCTGGCTTTCAAGGCCTTCCAAGGTCTACGCCTCCTTCCCAGACAACTCACAGCCCTGGTTACATTCTGCCTCACCTGGCTGAGCACCTTCCTCTGAACACTCCCTTCCTTCTCCCCATGCTCTGGATCCCTCAAGGCCCAGCCAAACCCCAGCTGCTCCCTGGCACCTGCTCACTTTTCCTTGAGTCAGAATGGACCCTCGGAAACTTCCTCACCCTGCAGCTCCAGTTCCCCATCATTCCGGGCAACTCACTAGTCGCAAGCATGGGTTCCAAGGACTGCCTGGGTTCCAAGGCCAGCCCTCTGCAAGCGACTTCATCTCTCAGCATCTCAGTGTCTCATCTGTCAAATGGGCCTCACAGGGTTACTCTGTGGATTCCATGAGTAAACACCCAGGAAATGTTTAGAGCAGAGACAGGCACAGAGTATGTCCTCAATAAAAGTAAGCGCTTAGCTGGGTACGGTGGCTCATGCCTGTAATCCCAGCACTTTGGGAGGCCGAGGTGAGAGGATTGCCTGAGCCCACGGGTTCGAGACCAGCCTGGGCAACTTGACGAGACCTCGTCTCTACAATAAATAAAAAAATTAGCTGGGCGTGATGGCGCACGCCCACAGTTCCAGCTACTTGGAAGGCTGAGGGAGAAGGATCGCCCAGGTCAAGGCTGCAGTGGCCATGAGCGTGCCACTGCACTCCAGCCCGGGTGACAGAGTGAGACTCCGACTCAAAAATAAATAAATAAATAAACAAATAAATAAATAAAAGTAAGCTCATGTGATTCCATCGCGCCATGGAACTGCTCCGCCACGAGAGGCCATGAGCTCTACTGCAAGTTGCCTCGCCGCTCTAGGTCTCAGTTTCTCCTTTTGTCAAAAGAGGGAGAAGGCCCTGGGTAGCCCTGAGCGTCCCTGACTGAATCTTCACCCCTCTTCCCACGTCCCAAAGACCCACCACTGTTGAGGGCAGGAGTGTCACGTCATCCATCACCTGTGGACCTGGGGCTTGGGGAATTGACATGTCCTCATGGGGACAACATCAGGGCTAGGGGCGTAGGTCCCTGAGGGTGAGGGGAGCCAGGTCTTGTGGGGAGGTGAAGGCCAAGGCATTGGGCCAGGTCCCAGAGGGGCTAGCTGCTGGGTGGGAGGAACTGGATGTCTGGGTCTGCGGAGGGAAGGCGGTGGAGGTCTGGATTTGGGAGGAGGCTTGAGTCTGGGGCTGCAAAGTCTCTGCATCATCCTTACGGGCACAGGAGCTGGGCTGGGGGTGGCCAGATGCCCGGGACCAGCTACAACAACCATGTTCCCGATCCCCTCCCCCTTTTTCTTTGAGTTGGAGTCTCACTCTGTCACCCAGACTGGAGTGCAGTGGCCACTCCCAGCCACCGCAGCCTCGACCTGCTGGGCTCTGGTGATCCTTCCACCTCAGCCTTCTGAGTAGCTGGAACTACAGGTGCACGCTACCACGCCCTGCTAATTTTTGATTTATTGTCAAGATGAGGTCTCGCCAAGTTGCCCAGGCGGGTCTCGAACCCGCAGGCTCAGGCAATTCACTCACCTCAGCCTCCCAAAGTGTGGGATTACAGGCTGAGCCACTGGGCCCAGCTCCCAGCCCCATTTACCGAGCACTTCCTATACACTGGGTGCTGCTGGAAGCCCTTGGCATGGTGAACTCATTGAATTGTCTCAGCAACCCCGTGAAGAGTATCCTAGCATTGGCATCTCCATTTTACAGATGAGGAAATTGGGGCCCAGAGAGACTGTGTGGCTTGGCTAAGCTGTCCAACTAGGAAGTGGAAGAAGCAGGATCTGGACTCGGGGAACCTGGTCCCACAGGCATCGCTGATGACTCAGCTCTGTACCCTCCATGGAGGCTGGAAGACTGGATTCCTGGGTTCTGGAGAAGCCTAGAGCTGGAAAATCAGGTGCCTGAATCCTAGACTATTTAGATGGTGGGAGGGGAAAGGATTCCTGAGCCTAGGGCTCAGGACTAGATTCCTGAGTTATGGAAGAATGGGGCTGGCCAGGCTCAGTGGCTCAGCCTGTAATCCCGCACTTTGGGAGGCCGAGGTAAGTGAATCGCCTGAGCCCGCGGGTTCGAGACCCGCCTGGGCAACTTGGTGAGACTTCATCTCTACAACAAATCAAAAAATTAGCCGGGTGTGGTAGCGCGCGCCTATAATTCCAGCTACTTGGAAGGCTGAGGTGGAAGGCTCGCCGGAGCCCAGCAGGTCGAGGCTGCGTGGGAGCGGCCACTGCACTCCAGCCCGGGTGACGGAGTGAGACTCCAACTCAAAAAAAACAAAAAACAAAAAAAAAGAATGGGGCTGGGAAGTCAGGGGCCTGGGTCCCTGAGCAGGTTAAGGGCTAGAGAACTAGATTCTGGAGAGAGCAGAGTCATAGGGGCTTGATTTTTTGTTTGTTTGTTTTTTGAGTTGGAGTCTCACTCTGTCGCCCAGACTGGAGTGCCATGGCCACTCCCGGCCACCGGGCTCAGGCAATCCACTCACCTCAGTCTCCCAAAGCACGGGATTACAGGCTGAGCCACCGAATCCGGCTGGGGCTTGATTCTTAAGTCTTTTATTTTTTATTTTTGAGATGGGGGTCTTACTCTGTCACCCAGACTGTAGTACAGTGATACAACCACGGCTCACTGCGGCCTCAACCTCCTGGACTCAGGTGATCCTCCTGCTGTAGCCTCCCAAGTAGCTGGGACTATAGGCGCACACCACCGTGCCTGGCTAGTTTGACTTTTCGTAGAGATGAGGTCTCACTATGTTGCACAGGCTGGTCTCAAACTCCTGGCCTCAAGCGATCCTCCCTCCTCAACTTCCCAAAGTGTTAGGGTTACAGGTGTGAGCCACCACACCCGGCCCATTCCTCAGTCTTTTTTTTAACTTTTTCTTTTCTTTTTTGAGTTGGATCTCACTCTGTTGCCCAGACTGGAGTGCAGTGGCCGCTCCCGGCCACCGCAGCCTCGAC